AAAAAAAACTAAAAAAACTAAATGTCCAGGAGTCTAGCCCTGTAGTTTTACAAAGAAAACTAAAAAAACTAAATGGCTGGACGTTTAGTTTCTGTAATTATTGGTATACTATATCAAGAAGCTGCCTCAACTTCTTTCACGCTCATGTCATTGGACGGTCCCAGTGATTCACTGCTCAGGTGAGACTGCCTGAGAGGTGAACATTTCAGGCCTCAATGCTGGCAGCCCCAAAGAACGCGTTGCGACCCGACCAGTCGTCACTTGACCAACTCAACCCCCGCAAAGAGATGAGTCGCGACAGCGATGGGGTCGCGATGGGGAGGGATTTTTAGACCAAACGTGAAGAACAAGAGCAACAACATCTGGACATGTTCGGTGCTTGCAGACCCGAACATATGCTCACAGCAGGGACACCAGAAATTTGGGGCACAGCCTGCATTGAAGCCGATGATTCATCGTGTTCGATGTGAAAGATTTCAATTGCCTGCCGCACCTTTTCCAAGTCTGAGCCTGTCTGAAAGAGGGCAGCCTCCCATTTTTTTGCCATGCATGCGATCCCCTGAACTCTCGAACGCTGAGACGTAGGATCAGAGACCACTGGTAGTCGCATGTCGAGACTCAGAGACCTGCGCTTGGCCCAGGCGACTGCTCAGGAGGGGTGATTGTTCATCAGGATTGGTGGCTAAAATGCAGAAAGTGGGTCATTCTCTAGGCCTCGTTTGATGTTTGAGCCCTCGAAATGGTGACCTGAAGAGAGGTTCTTCAGTTCCAGTTCTGGGTGCTTCAGTTGATGTTCCTGTGGGTGGCGCTGGCGCTGACCAAATCATACAAAACCTGTAGAGATACTCCGTATATGAGTTGATTCATGGTTTTAGATGGGTTTTATTCATCAACATCAGCACTCAGCATTAGATACCAACTCCGCCGTAGAACGCATGAACGCATGGCGAACGAGGATCGGTGCCGAGGATGGGGATTTGCACAGATCGCACCTGAAAGGCAAGCCCAGTGGCGCTGGAGGGGGCTCCCCGCTCCAGTTCAAACAGAAGATCACGCACGGGACTAGTACGGCCCCGTCAGAGGCGGCAGTATTTGTGGAACAGCTTCCTTCAATCGATTTGAAGGACCCGTGGTGTTTATGTACAGGTGGAACTCATTTTGACCCCTGTGTTGTTGTTGTTGGTGGTGGTTGGCTTGGTTGGTTGGTTGGTTGGTTGGTTTTAAGGATTGTTGGCGTTCAACAAGAAAACGCACTCAGCTTCTAGGTATACAAGACTAAGGGTTTGGCACTTCCATCATCGATCTTCCCTTCAGCTTGGGACTACCCCTAAAAACCTCCAGCTTCACTGCGCTTGGTGGAGCGCTCTTGTTCCAAAGGTAGCAAGGCGCTCCAGGAACGCACGAGTTCGCTACGCCCTCGGCGCCCAAATTCAGCAGCCATCCTCACTGGTGGCTGGATCGTTTCACCCGAACGTTTTGGAGCTGATGGAGCCAACTGACTCGCAAAACGGCCAATCCTTTGACCTCCGGAGGCCATCGATGGCCTGCAAAGGTCGTAGATCATGGTCACCTCCTTGGGTCGTTCTGGGCCATGTTGTATGTTCAACTTGAAATCTCAAAATATCCTCATGTTGATTGATTTTCTCAACGGGTGGCGGGCTGGTGGAAGATTCATTTTGTGTAGCTGGGAGTGCTGTTTTACATTGCAGGACCTCGGAAGCACTTCAAATAACACCTACATGCAGTAGTTATTCTGATACTGTTTGCCTCGCATTCTTTCGAAGATTCATTCAATCTGTCATGTGGATGGAGAGCGAATGGAAGTTTTGTGCGACAACGTTGCAAAGAGGACACAGAGGACACCGCATCTGATCCACCCAGAGTGGACATCTATTCGGTGGTTAAATGGATTTTGGCTCAGCGTCAGATGCAGATTGGCCATTTTGGCTCCACTCAAGCCATGTGGGACACCAAGCCATGTGGGATACTATTCAGCTGTATCCCACCTCGTAAACCAACATATTTTGTATATATATATATGTATACTATATATATAGCATATATGATTCATCATGATTCATCATGCAGCAGTGTTGGCAGGCATCTATGACCCACATGGTACAGTACTGTTCATTCAATGCCATGAACATAAAACAAAGCCCCAGCCAGCACACGTTTTCCACACGAGTGCCGTGCGTTCGCGCTGCGCATCCCAACAACACTTTACAATAGTGATCCATCATTACGCGTTTTGATACATCGCCATGTCGCTGCTTCGACCATTCAGATGCCGCTTCCAAAGGGAAGCCATTCCGCTGAAATGGGCTCTGTCCAGATGGGCCGGTGCCAAGAGCGAAGGGCTGTCAGAGGGGGACGGGGTGGTCGTGGGCTTTGAACGTCAAGGTTGGCCTTTGGTGAGGCTGATTGCACCGGAAGCCCAAGAAGCTCCAGAGCCACCGGTGGTGGTGGCGGATCCAGGTTCTGGGTCGCATGGCCTGCTCATGCGTGGTCAGATGCTCAGATTGAGCTTCACAAGCACAGGATGGAAGCTTCTCCATGTGGTTGATGCTGGAAGCTCCGGCCGGAAGCGCCAGCGGTGCATTCACCCCACACGCGTGGGTGGCTTGTGCAAGAGCTGCCCTAGAAGGAGCAAGAGCAAGAGCAGGTGAGTCCAACAAGCTTCCTTTGTGGTCTCAACTCCTCGTGAACCTCGGCCACGCGAGTTCAGGCAGAGGCATCTTCGCCTGGCCTTCAGGCGCACACCGGTTGCGTAGGCTGCTTTAGGGAGGATGTGTGGTCGCTCCCTATGCACCTGGACGGTGTGTGTGGTTTCAGGTGAGTGACCATAGTGACAGAAACTCCACTGCGCGTTTGGGAAAAAGCTCCGCCCATGTGGTGATCACACTTTTTGAAGAGGAAAGTCTTCCCAGAGATCATTTTTGCACTTCCATGTTCGTGAGCCGCTTGTGCTACCCCTCCCTATATCATTTCTTTGAGGCAGTGGAAGGGTTGTTGATGGTGATAGGCCTTGGCAGCCGTTAGCGGTAACGTATGAATGAAAAAAGACATCGCGCTGAGAATCACATTGATGAATGCTCAGGAGAAAGGTCACATGTTAATAGTATATCGTGGGTACCTTTTGTTGCTAATAAAGCATTTGGATACATTTGGCCTTTCACTCCCTGCGTGCTGAAGCATGAAGGTCACCCAAATGGGTGGTTTCTGGGATTTCTGTGAGGAGAAAGCGTTCGGGCGGGACGCAAGGACGAAAACGTTTCGTGTCCAAACGATGCGACGCAAGAGATTCCAAGCTCCGACATGGGCTCCATGTGTTCTTTGGAAGTCAGTCGTCACCATGTTGAAAGATGTTGAAAGGGGTAAAATCATCATGTTTAAAGGGGTAACATTTGGTTTGGTGATGTGAATTCCTTAGTATATAAATTCCTACGTCCTTCCGTCACCAGCCGTCCAGCCGCCCATCGCCACGCCCAGCCACGGCGGCTCCAGCGCGCGACTCTCGGACGCGCCGCAGTGCGCCGTCGCCATGTCAGGTTCGGTCCGTCGGACAGGGTAGTCCAAGCAGGTGATGGAATCGAAGGGAATGGACTAATGGCTTGTGGGCATGAGCTTGTGCCAGGACCTTCTCAGTGACCTCTTCAGGATTGGTGGTCAGTGACCTGAAATCAAGGCCGTTTCGTGACCTCAGTCTGGGATCTCAAAAGGTCACTGGGAAGGTCCTGGTGGATGGTTTTTGCAGGAGTTCAGGTTCAGATCTGCATGTTTATTTTTGGGGCGAACCCTCTTTTTAATGGTGGGAGGACCTATATAAACTAAGGAGATATTCCGGCGTTTGTTTGAACATCATACATTTGGTCGTTGGAGCTAAGTGCCACGGATGAAGGCTGAGAAACCGGCCCTCTTTCCGGATGGTTAGGATGAATGCCCCAATGAACCATCATGGCTTCATATCCCATGGCTGTCCTCACCCGTACGTCCAGACCCGAGACTCGGTCAAACCTGGTCCTGAAAAGCTCCACCTCAGTACGGTCGTTTTTCTATGACCAACTCCAGAACAACGACGCCAACCTGACCTGTAGGGTGTCTACTTCCTTTCTAGACCTTTTTTTTCCCCGGACGACGTGCAGGACGGAGGGGAAGGGGGGCATCACTGCGATGTTTGGCACTTGAAAACACCCGCCGGAGGCTTCCTTCTGGCGCCACATGGCCGTTGTGAAGAGACAGGGGGAACGGGGAGGACGATGTGGAGGTCTTCCCTTGAGAGGTCTATCGTAGGGAGCACGTACGTCGCGCGATCGTTGATGGACCCATGCAGCGAAGATGGAGACAGCTCAGGGTTAAGATCCAAGTCCTGTCAGCTGAAAGGAAGAAAAGACATCCAATGACATCCAACCCCCCAAAAGGGCAGTCTACCAGCTGCCGACTCACCGACTCACCGAAAAGACCGACGCCTCTCTGAACGCCTCTTTGATTTCAGGTTCGGCCCGTGGTTCAAAGCTCGAGGGGTGAGAGATGGATCTCCTGTTGGATCGAGGTGGTTGAAACCTGATCTGGTGCCTTCAACCTCGAATCCAGGTGGCCAGACCTCACAGGAAACCCGAGCTTTCTCCGACTCCCAGGCTCCACAGGGACCCCAACCGTTCGAAGTACTGATCTGGATGGAGCCTTTTTGGGGTTTTCACCATGCTCGACAGCTGGCACGATCACAGCAGCATGGCGAGTTCGCCAACAGCACACGCACCTCATGCACCTCATGCGCCTCATGCGCCTGCGATTCCTCTAGGTTTGCCTGGATTTTCATGTGGTGTGCCAAAGCCATCCGAAATCGACATGAGGACGAGGCCTTTCTCGCGAGGTGGTTGGGGCCAGTGTGCTGAAGGATTCACAAGCATAACTCTATTTCAATTCTCAAGTTTGGGTCTGTCCTATTTACCTGCAACAGTCAGTAAACAATACTATTTTTGAACAAAGCCTTCAACTGAACCATCATAATCCACTGGGCTCAGGGAATGGAATAGACCCATCAAGTATTCAAGGTATACGATCATGTTGTTGCTCCGTTGCTTTGGCCTCGGCCTTTTCGACATCCATCCCCAAAAGTGCCAAATGAAGTAGATATACCAGGGCCTTCAAGGGGTGGTTAATGGACAACCCTTAACGGCTAAGGGGCTATAAATAGACACCCCTTGGAGGGTCCTTGTAGATTAGATTTGATCAGGATAGACAGAGAGAGAGAGAGAGAGTTAGATCATGTTAGATAGATACATGATATACATGTACGTTTTAATGACGTGCTTTTTGATTTGAGTCTTGGAAACCACTGCGTAGCCTACGTAATTGGTTCACTGAGTTGCTAATGAGTTGTCACACATGTTCGATTGCATTTGCATGTTTTACTCGGGCCGTCCGAGACAGTACATGATCTCAGAGTAGTTCAAAAAAATCATACCAGAGGCCGGAGGTTATAGAAGGCTGGTCATTGTGGAGGCATTTGGTAGCTTTGTCAACATTCAGCATCAGGATGATGCTGACTGACCGAATCTTTGTTCGGGTACCTTCTCTTCATCCCTTTGGGAAGAGCTACCAACTAAGACTCCGGGTTGAGCAGTTGATCCGAATTTTCCCTGGGGCTCCTGGCCCATCTCCTCGGTTCGGTGGTTAGACCCCCCAAACACACCCACCATCACCATCTTCGAAACGGAGGTAGGCCAGTAGCCTTAGGGTTTGCACAGCACCCAAGCACCGCCACGACTCCAGAAGCTGATGCCCAATGGAGCGCTGGACGGGGCGATGGAAAGCGCGGGGCCATCGGCGTGGCTGGAAGAGGACTGGAACCTTGGGATCTCGTTGAACAGAATTTTGTCTCTCACTCCAGCAGCTTCTCCTAGTTTGGGTAGCTTTCTGACATTTGAAGCATAAATAACGTGGTGTTCATCAAGTTATTCAAACAGTTAATGTTAACATCTTATTAGTAACCCCCCTATAAACAACAAATACGTGTTTTCCCGGGGTAGTCAAAACTCTCAACCTCAATCAAGAAAACACAAAACTCCAGGCCATTTGGCAGAGGGGATTTGGTAGAGGGTCTTTCATTTGCTTTCATTCTGCTTTCATTTTGATTAAGACATAAAGATCATATTTTTTGGTATTTGTTTGATAGGGTTTGCATAAGAAAACCTAAAGCTTCTGAGACACAACGAAAGCAAATGAAAAGCAGAACGAAAAGAGACACAATAAAAAAAACAACATTCTGAATGCAAATGTTTATCCATTTGGGGTTTGGATGTTGGCGCATTTAAAAGCAGTGTTGCAAAATCCTGGCAGGCCAAACAGCTCATTCTAGTGCTCATTATTATTGTCTCATGGTTCATAAATGACATGTTAACATTAGATAGTAAACAGATGAATCCTTGTGGATAGCGTATGGTAGACTCCTGATCTTGTGCACAGATCAATCGATATGGTCCACAAGACTTGGAGGTGCTGGACAGTGTCAGTGCTGTACTTCCCTTTTGAGGTCGAGGAATGTTCGCAGCCTTGAGAAGACGAGTGTGCTACTATATGCACCTATAATGCTATACTGTAATTATACTATATAAAACTATATATACGATATATATATATATATACACACCTTTTTGAGGATGTTCTGAGATCCATGTGGGAGTCAATTCCTGCACGCCAGCCAATAAACGCCCACAAAGGCCCATTCTTCCATGTAGCACCAGCGCCCATTCTTGCACCCAGACCTACCGAACCCCCGCCACTAAGGGGCAGTACGTCCGCAGCAGCTTGCGGCCACGTGACGAATGCGACGAACCTCGAGGCACTGCACCACCAGGGTGAAGACGAAGACCGCCGGTTCGTTCGTGTCGCGGCGTGTCGCGGTCGCGACGTTCGTGTGGCGGTCGTGCCATGTGGGCAGGGTCAATTCACCTAGCGGCTCTGGTTTTGGTGGGTGAAAGGGGCCATTGCGCGGCTCGCGCTTTCGGCAGGTCACTCGGTCACTCGGGCTTTCGGCAGGTCAGGGGCCAATGGGCTGAGACTTCTGAACAATCAGAACGTTGTCGCCTCATGTCTGACCTGCCTTTCTTTGGAACTTCATTGGTTTATTAATTCAAGACTAGTTCACTGCTAACCCTTATGATCCTTTGTGCAATTGTGATAACTGATAGGGGTTTGGCCCGTCACGATGCGGTTCTGCGCAGCCAAAAAGAGAGAACGCTTGGGAGAAGAAAATCCCGCGGCAGGGCCTCCAGCTTCATTGTGAGAAGTACCTGAAGAAGATCCGAGAGCTTTTTCAGGAGCGGCGGTGGGAGGAACGTGTTTGGCGGCTTTTTTTTTCTGGAACGCTGACCGTCGGGCCCACACAAACCATATACATCAAAGAACTAATGTAGACTCTTGATTACTTTTGATTAATAACCCCCCCAATTGAATTGGACATCCTCTTGTTCATCAAGAGTCTACATTGTTGAAGGATCATCAAACTGAGACACCATTTCTTGCATGCATTGCATGCAACTGGATCCGGCAGAGTGTTGACTCCGTGTTGAGCAGAAGTTGGTGGGAGGACATGCTCATTGAAACTCATGTTCTGTTTTCGTCGCCGACGAACTGCACCCGATGTGCTATGGCGACCAAGTTGCCCTGTGCAATTCCCCGCCTTCCTTTGAGGATTTCAGGTTTATTTTTTACTTGGCCCAAAGTGTTTGATGTGAAGTTCTTTTTGGTCCCAACTATACTATATATTATATATTTTTTGTACTATAATATAGGTGTTGGTGGGTAGTGGCACGAAGGTGGTCGGTCAACTGCTTCTCCTACCACAAAGCAATTCTTGTGACACCAAGACGGCGCTGAGTCCGAAAGAACAACTCGGCGACACAGAAGACATGCAGATTTCGGTGACCACACTACCATGCCACGACGCTTGCAGACTGTTTTTTGAGCTCACGCGCGACTGGACCACGTGATTTGATCAATCGAAAGAACTAGTAAACTTGGTGATCCAAACACCCGCAGTTCTCGATGCGCCGAGAACAGATAGAAAAGCAGCGGCATGGCTGGATCTATTTGGCCGGCCGGGACCCACACGGTGATGTTCTCACACCTCGCGCGATGTCCAGATCAAGTGGGCGCATCGAACCAGGTGCCTCGCCCAGAAGAGATCCTGGAAATGAATCACATCAACCTTTCAACCGCCGAGCTCCTCAGACCGCAGTTCGGCGGCGGTGCGCCTTCGCTGTTTTCGCACTGGAAAGAGGCGCCGCGGAAGACGGAAGCGGCGGAAGTGGCGTTCACGACCCGCGGTGATTTCCTTTTTTGGGCCAGTGTTTGAGGGTTCGACCCACAAGAAGTTGTTGGGGGTGTTGATTTGGTTGGGACGTGTGATTGAATGAATTCCATTTGTTTGCTTCAAGTTCTTCAACTTAAAACCAAAGTACTTTGTACATGTTAGCATTCACCCGAAGCTGAAGTATCAGGTACAGGGTCATGCCCTGCATTTTGATATTCCTCAAGCCTTAGGCCCTAGGCTACCTACGAGATAGATTCGATTGTGCAGATTCTAAGTGAAGCTTTAAGGTTTATAAGTATATAACTCCTCTATGTGAACGAAGTAAGCCATGGTTGTTTGTGTGGCACCCGTGGCTTTGCCATTTGGCTGGGCACATTCCTACCTGCAGATTGTGGATGATCCTAGAGTTTTGACCCTTCAAAATCAAATAGAAGAGACGCAAGAGCACCGGTCAACGTGTCACGCGAACTCCGAGGGAAGGGACGGGGCAAAGCGGCGCAAAGATGCTGTTCAGCCGGGGCACCGGTGGTGGGCAGGGTGCGGCTTCAGGGCTTCGGTGCAACGAGTGAAACACACCGCGAAACGATGATATCGTGGTGTATCTGTAGCAGAGAAGGTGACGGATATCGCATTGATCATACCCAGACACTCCATGGGACTGCCATATATACCTATAATTGATCCCTGAAACCACCGCAACTGATCGGCAGTCCTATGGCAGTCCCATTAGTCGTGTCTGGGGTGACTTTCGATGAGCGTGGGCTTGCCAACCTCCGGAGTCGGGGAGCCGATGCACCTCGTGACTAGCCCAAGCTTGTGACATTCTTAGAGATTGTTAGAGTTTAAAGGTGGATCTCAGTGCTATGGGCCTATGGGCCAAAGAACTTCCAATGCAGCAACAACCTTTCATGACTTGGGCGCGGCCTGTCAGTCATCAATGACCTTGATGGCCGCAACCAGGAAGCAGCACATCAGGAAATCCAAGTTTAATATGTGGAAGCAACTCATTTCTGGTGAACTAGGTTTTGCGAGCAGAACCTGCGAAAATTCCGATGATTTGTGGCACATGCTTGTGTTTGATCTTCCCCTCGCTTTAGGAGTGTCCAATATTGGAGCATTGGTAGCATCAGGTGCTCCAAGCGCATCCTCTTCCACCTCCAACTGTTCTAATTTCTTAGGATTCACCGCATGTCACTAGTGGTTCTGTTCGAAAGCAGGCTAGAATGTCAGCAGGTGCCATTCAGTTTCCAATTGCACGCCTGGATTGACCTGATGGTGGATTGACCGGACACCTGAGGCAATGACAAGAAGTTCATCATCAAGACCATGTCAGCTCGGGACCTGGGTGCCTTTCTCAACGTCGTGGAGAAGCAGCTGGGCCCTTGACCCCATCGACCCCGGCGGATTTGTGGCGTGTGGTAGCATAGGCCGTGTGCCCCATCCTCCGTCAAAACCAAGCGGAAAGTTGGGACGTTTCTTGGTCTCCTGAAACAGGCAGAAAAAGCATCCCGCTTCACTCATGCTTCACTTGATGCTTCACTGGACTCGTCGTTGTTCAGAACGCGGTCATACGCGGTTCTTGGAGGATCACGTGTTGGACATGAACTAGGCTCGTTCGTTGATTTTGCGATGTAATGACACCCATTTGAGAGATGGTTTCTCACAACTCCCATATGAGAGATGTTTTCTTCATATTATGTGAGACACACATATGTCATATGACTTACTTGAAGATCTTGAAGTGAGATGGGGGACATCCATCTGTAGAAAAGGTGTCTTCCTCATATCGCCTCGTTGCCTAGCAAAGACACTCATGACGTCCACCCCAAAAGGGAGCGCAAAGGCTTCGTCAGCATGAAGCCTGCCCAACGATCCATGGTGGCGCATTTCTATGGCCTACATGACTGGTGGTTTTGGGTGGTGGAATGTATAGGTCATATTAGAGAAATCACCAAATGTGTCTGTTGTGCCCTGTCCATCGTGACGTTGGAGGGTGTGTATGTGTCAAGCTTGAACAAGGGGGGTCCTTCGGCCGGCAGCATTGGACAGGCTCCCCCACCCCCTCCGCGCTTGCACGTTCAACGGAAGGTTCCAACGGAGAACAACAGTTCAGACACTCCATGGGACTGCCATATATGCCTACATTGGGGTGGTTTTGGGGGTCAATGTAGGCATGGAGTGTCTGGGAACTGTTCAGACATTGGGCGCACCTGCACCCTGCATTCGCTCGCGCTTCAAGATGATACCGAGCCGGAGAAAAAGGAACAAGACCAAGCCATGGATCCGTTCAGAGGCCGAAACAGCACACCATGTTCTCCAAGACCTGGTTTTGCTTGATGTTCTAAAGTATATGTTCCCCATGATTGAATCCCCTTCCGGGGAATATATATATATATATATAAATAAATATAGATTTTGTTAACCTGGTTTGAGGTCACTTAAGCCTCCTAAGGGTCACTTAGGAACCTTCAAAAGGTCACTTTGAAGAAGCTGGATATTATGTTTTACTCTTTTTTCCAAGACGTGGTCCTGTCACTTCCATCCTCCGCAACTGCCGAGGTACACGGCTTACATGACCATGCATGCCAGTGAGTCTGCGATGATGAGGTACTATGCCATCTTAGAGGCAGATCCATGATTGGTCAGAATGGTGGGTGTGGTTTTGCAAGTCTCGGAACAAATGTCTCATTGGGTACCTGGGCTTCTCATGCTTTCTGAGGTGCAGTTGCCGGTGTCCTGTGACTGGGGAGGGGGGGGGCTGCAGGTAATTGCAGGATTTGTGGGCGCAGCTAGATTTTGAGTTGCTTAATTTGGCAAATAACGTTCCTGGATCTTCACCGAAAAGTTCTGGTAGTTTTTGTTTTTCCGTGCAAACGGCCCAAAAAACATGCAACAACCACAAAATAACGCAAAACAAACAACCGACCAAAACATACCAAACGACCATAAAACCATAACGACCATAATTGTTTGGTAGTTGGAAGGTCCAGGCTTACAATAGAAAGGTTAACTATCATCAAATCTGGTTGTTATATTTATTGTTTATTTGGGTGCTTTGTGCTGGTGAGAAACCGCAGAGAACAGACCTCACAACAGAAGTGAAGCAAAGAAGTGTGACTCACCACCGGAAGCAATGCTGCTCAGTAGTCGTTGAAACTTGGACATTTGGGTCAGGAAGATCGAAGAAGCATCATGGTCGTAACTAGACTTGAAGGACACAGCATTCATTTTTCAGGATAGTAGCTGGACATGTAGTCACTGTAGTCAACCCCTTCAGAACCCCCTTCGGTTGGCATCGAATGACCTTCGTTCATTCCATGTCTTTCCTTCTAAACCCCTCGGAAACCCCTCGGATCGGCCGGGTCTGGAGCATGGCCGGCCGGGTCTGGCAGGACGATCGTGGAGGCTTTTGGCTGATCGCCAACAATTGGCTTCCTGCACCTCGGACTGGAGTGGTGGACAGCGCACGTCGACGATCTTCTCTGTGGAGGAGGAGAAGAAGCCCGCAATAGCATTTTGAGCTTGGAGGCAGTGCGAGTTCTGCACCCAGGTGCTCCGGGTTTTTCGGATGCCTCGCCGGTCGATGGGTCCAGCTTCGCTGCCGACCAGCTTCCGACCCAGCTTCGGCCATTCGACCCACCCAATGACCCCACGGGCCGCCGATGTGTTCACCAACTCTCCGAGATGGAGGCCCAAGCGCCGGTATCAGGGGGGGGGAAGCGGATCAACTCCAGCGCGTGAGGGGTTTGTGGGGTCGGGCGATGTTGATTGAAGGTGTCTCAAGTCCTCAGCAAAGCCTTGCTGGTGGAGGAAGGAACTTCCTGGCTTCGCTTTTCAAAGGTGTGTGTGTGTGTGCACCACAGGTTTGGGGATCCGGTCGTACCTTGTCAGGTACGGTGATGTGTTCGACACTGTTACTGTGATGTAGCTTTGAAGGGTCCAGTCGTACTGACACTCTTTGGCCGCGAGGGCCGACGGCGCCGGCGCCGGGCCGGCGTCGGCGTGGTCCTCGTGGCGGTGCCCAGGTGGAGTTCCCGGTGCTGTTCGACTTGAAGGGGTCGATGGTGGGGCGCACGAATGGCATCACCGAGAGCGATCAAAAGGAGCGCCATCAGGTACTGTAGACTCTTGATTGAGAACCCCTCAGGCCTGAAAAGGATTTCCAATTCATTTGGGGGGGGTCATGCACCTCAAGAGCCTACACATCAATTCCATGTACTTGGTGCGGAGAGATGACGCCCTTTGGGCGGCATTGCTTTGCCGCTGTCCCTGCGCTTTGCCGGGCTCCGATGGAATCATGGTTATGTGCATGGCATGGAGAGGATGACAGCTGGTGAACTCCGCTTCCATCAAGTTCAGGAAGCGTATGTGTAGAGAATTGACCGTGGAGTTGGCTCAATATCAAACCCAGGGGATCCAGTTACCACTATAGCTGGTAACCAGTGCTTCCAAAGACTAAAACCGACTTAGAACCCCTGGTTCCTTATATAACTGGGATCCACTGGGTACGACTTCTGACCTTGACTCAGAAAAACCTTTCACTGCCTGTGGCACCGCCACACGCTTTCTTCACCTGCGGCTGAGTCCGAGACTGCAGGACAAGGACTGGCTAAAGCAAAACCTCGCTTTGGTCTTGCCCCCGGGTGAGCGCGCGGTGGCCCTTCAATCGCTCAAGAAGGAGTCTTGGCATGTTTGGGCACATGAAGTTGCAAAAATGTCCGGGTGACGGGGTGGATCATGGTGGAGTTTTGCCAATGAAAAGAGAAGAACTGATGCAAATGTTGGTGGATAAGTTTGTGGAGGAAACTGTAGGCGGTTGGTTCTTGTGGTTCCCAGCAACGACGACTGACCAGGGATCGGCTTGCTTGGAAGTGGAGCAAGTCGTTCAGGGTTCAAGGAGGGTGAATGTTTTCTCCTATAATATAAATCCTACGACAGAAAGATCCTTGAATTGAAAGAGGGGGTCAGAGTTTGTCCCCTCTCAGCTCCACGTTTGATGGTCATAGTTTTGTGCTTCTTTGGCATTGCTGGGATCCATTTACACAAGAACTTGCATAGAGGTTCTTACGTGATGTCATTTGTTCGATGGTTGGTACTGTACCTGCAAATCCCACAAATAGCTTTGACATCAAGAGCTTGTTGCAAAGAACTCCCAATGCTCCTCGTGCAGCACGCAAGCCCTTATTCGACATGAACCAGAACAAGGTGAGACTTTCAAATGATTGCGCCACTCATTCCACCGGTCAGACTCCCATTCCACTCATTGCACAACTGAAGGAGTTGTTCGATTGAACGGGTCCCCCTCCCTGCCGACCTTTTTGTTGGCTTCGGCTGATGGGACGCTTCCATCCCGACTATCGCGACTCGACTATCGCGGCGAGGATAGTCTTTGGCTCGCACGCGCGAAGCTGATTGATTACTCCTTGATCGCGGGGCTGTTGTACTACCAACTGGATGCTTGCGATGGGCCAAGCCAAGCTTGGTGCCTCGAACTGGAAGGGTGCGCTTTCCAGACCACCTGCTCCAGGGCACATGACTGTCGGGGTGGCGCCAGTAGTAGTCCCATCCAGTGAGTGGATGTCCTCACCCCGATCCTTCCGTCCTCCCTTCAGAAGGCACCCCGGCCATTGAAACCATCATATGTCCTGGGCACCCGATGCTCAACACGCTGAAGCACCACCTTAGTCATCGTCCACGGGTGGAATCAGTGGCACGGAAACCGTCAGCGCTGAGAGTGGACGCACTAGCTGACTGCATGTCACTTTACAGTCCCTAGGGATCCAGTCGTACCTTCTCAGGTACGGTGATGTGTTCGACACTGTGATGTAGGTGCCATTGTCGGGTCCAGCCGTACCTTCTAAGGTTCGGTACAACTGGATCCCTATGGGGGCGTGGTCATCCTTCGAACGGGTTGCCATTGAGTGATCTCCCGGTGAAGGCCACAAACCAGGTCAGCGGAATTTTTACGGCCGACCACTACAATCAGGCGAACTGCTTTTCACCAGTCCAGTTTGCGAACCGAAAACTCACCCTGTGCATTGCGCGTGCTTTCAGGTGCATTGCGCCGGTGTGCCATCCAAAAGGTGGCTGCGGGGAAGCGGCATACACATTGGGCGAGTACTTCAACCAGATCAAGGTGCGCGGCGTCGAAAAAAGCGGAGTCCTGTGGTGCAACCCGGCGTCGATCCGCTATAGGCTTCGATCATCCTTCATTTGCCATACACAATTCCCAGAGACGACTCATGGGACTGCCATATGTACCTACATTGATCCCCAGTCCACCACCGCTGGCCGTTTCTCGGCAGTCCGGACTGGCAGTCCCAGATGGCGGTCGTGTCATGGGGACCGGCACTCAGGTCCTCATACCCGTACGTCCAGTCTCTCCCAGGTAAACCTGGTCGACTTGACCTGACCTTAAGTGGTTTTTGTCCAGTATTTCATGAGGTCAAACTGACTTGTAGGGATAGTTTGGAGTTTCCTTCTTCAATGAGTAGGATCAGAACTTCCTAATGGGTAAGGATCTTCTGGAGGTTCAACTCCTCCCTGATCCTTTTTCCTCCCATTTTTGCTGAATTGATTTTCTAAATTGAGACATTTCTGTGATTTTACCATCATTGTTTGTGTTGTTAATATGTGTTGCTATCATGTTCTCATTTATGTAATGATGCATAGTTCGTTCTTGTTTAGGGTGCAATCCAACTGTTGTTCCAGACGCGTGGACTTCCACGTGGGAAGCCGAACTCGGATCGATGGTCATTCCCTGTCCTCCGATCAAACTCTTCGCGCCTGGCGCGGGGGGGGGAAGTGGTGCGATTTGGGGATGGCACATGGTGTTAGTTTGAAGATGTATGTTGCAATATCCTCTATGAAATCACGGGTCCAGGTCCGCATTTTATGTCTATAAATCACGACCAGGAACCCCCCCCCAGTGGTATTGCCACATACATGTTTGAAGGGTTTTCTTTGAGTTTCAGGGTTTGGTGTGGAAAGGCTTGCACTGGAAGAAATCGAGCAGGGCAGTGCATCATTTTACTTGAGGTTTCGCTTCAGGTTCCCACCCAGCATTCAGGGGTTCGGTTGGGTTCGCATTAGTCGAATTCCAGCTGTGTTTTCAACAAAAACCTTCAGTGGGTTTAGGCGGTCTAGGGGGGGACATGCGCAACATCGGGTTTTGGCAAGTGTTTTGGATGCACCGGAGGCATGCCAGACAGGGGCACCCGGTCGTGACAGGACAGCTATTTCGATTGTCATGACAGGACTTCTATTGCGAGGAGACTTCGGTGAAAGAGAAGCAGTTTGGACACACCTGTCCCTTGACTTGAACAGGGCTTGACTGAGTGTTCTTGATATTCCGGTCACGAACCGGTCACGAAGTATATCGGCAGCAGGTTTCGAAGCTTTCCCCATAATCCCGAGTACCCATTAAAAAACGGACCCCTATTTAGAAAAAAGTCATGTCGGAAACTCCTAAATACGGTTTATATTTGTGTTTAAATTGCCGCCCTTTCAAGCCGCTACTAAACTACCAACATTGCCGACTTTGGAGGAGTTTTTTTTAAATTAGGTTCCAAAACAACCGTAACTACCGTAACTGCCCACCTCTGTCCGCCCTGTCTATCCACCATGACACGCCGCGCTTACACCAGCAGGCTTTCCTTCCCCCAATGGCACGGACTCACGCAAACGCACTTGCCACCGAGGTCATGCAACACCACATGGCACAGCGACATCACCTTTCGAAAGCTTTAGCTGTTAGTCTGAAGAATCACTATTCTAATGAAGGTTTTTGTAGGGGAAAAGGAAGACCCTTCGATCTGGAGCTTTTTTGCATTTTTGAAACGAGTTTAATAAAGGATTTGATATAAAATTTTACTGATTTACTTTTTGGTTTTGAAGCTCTTCCCAGGTGACCCTATTTTGGACCCCCCGATTTCAGGGATCCCCTATTAGAAAAAATGCGACCGAGGTTTCCTTAGTAGGGGGGGGGGCCCGTGTTTTTTAAATAGGTGGACCGGATTATATTAAAATAAGCAAACCTATCCTGGTTTCGAACCTAACCTATCCTCAGGGTATGAGGGTGTTACGCTCAGGGTCTGACTTCATTCATTCTGAGCGCGCGGATCGCCAGACACGTTTTAAGATCGCTCTCCTCATGTGGGGTACTCTTCGGCACGGGCCGACACGGGCACCATCAGCAAGAATGTGTCAATCTTAACAAGACGTGGTGCATGAGGCGTGGGGCCCCTGCCACAATCAGCAGGTCACGGACGGATGTGCTGAAAACCACCCAGAAGTATCATGGTATGAACCCTAGGGCTCCAAGTGCCTCCTCAGAGGGTATTTGGACCCTCTAAACCCACCCCAAACACCTTCTCAGAAGGTACTTGGAGCCCTAGGGGAATTGACAGATACACCATTTTCTACCTGGACCTGAAAAAGGGGTGTCCTGGCCGGAGGTCCCTTAGTAGTAGGCTGGGGCGAAACCAGCCAGGTGACCCCGACATGAAGTTCCTTCCTCAGTTCCATCACCTTCCATCACACCAGCTTCCTCGGGCTCTCAGGCGTGGGAGGCATCACCAGCAGCTTAAAGGTCGGGAGACGCGGACGAACGTCACGACAAAACGCGGACCAGGGGAAAGGAGGTTCCGAGGAGCAGAGAGAGACGTGCCGGGGGAGCCTTAAGATGTCAGAACACTGCTAGTCCGGTAAGGAGCCATCTAGAAATGATCTCATTTTTGTTGCCTACGCTCCTTTTGGAGTAGGTTTCTTTGGCTCTGAGGGATAGAAAAGGCCGTTGGATTCTTCAGAGCTGGATTAGCCGTGCGCGCTGCACTGCACTCCGCGCCGTGGTCGGACTTGCCGACACGGTGCAGCGCGGCACGTGTGGCTCAAGCCGTCAGTGATATTTCAGAGCTGGAGGTTACCCTGGCGGTGTTCATTCCCCATAGAGTCCGGAGGTACCTCCTTAGGGTGGTCGAACGGAGGTGAGGAACCGTACTTCCAGAGAAGGGTCGTTGCCTGGAGGCCAGTTAGGACATCCTCAGGGACCTGGAACCGTCCAGAACCTCCTCGGGTCGGTCCCGAGAGGTGCCCGAAGCGCAGATGAGACACCGAACTAGCTTGGGTTTAGTCTAAAAGTGGTGCTTTAGAGGTGTTTTTTGGTTGGGAATAGACCCCCCAAATGGATAGATCATGTAATGAAAGGTATAGATCCCCGCTAAAGAACATGTTATTGGACATCGTGCAACTATCGAGGGGCCACAATAAGTTAAGTGGTGTTTAGAGTTTAGTGCATATTCTGCTCCAAACGCATCACCTTTTACCACAGTGGTGATCGATGCTCATTGGTGCTATGAGGGCCACGTACGTACTGACTGTGTGTGTGTGTGTCGTGCCAGCTCAAGGGGTGCTCAAGTGGTGGTGCAGTCCACGGGCGGAATTGGCACGGAAATGGCGCAGGAAGGTTGGTGACATCGATTTCACAGTTCTGCTGGTCGCTACCAGCGTTCCGGAATGGTGTTGCTACTTCTGTGGGATGGACCACTGCCAAGATGATGCAGTTGTTTTAGATACATTGATTTGGAATAATTTGGACTTATGCATGAAGATTCCATTTGATCCACTTTTTGGGGTGAGGCCTTTGAACCAATCTAGAGGTCTACTTCCAGTGCTTCGGCATCATCGACCTCCTCAAGTCTCTCGACCTCAACGGCGCCTCCTTCTCCGAGGTTCGCCTCGGCGCTCCGAGGTTCCTTTTTTTGTTAAAAACCAAAGGGGGTGCGGTGAGCAGTGCCCCAAAAGTGTGTTCATTGATAGGGATCCAGTCGTACCGAACGTCAGGTACGGTGATGTGTTCGACACTGTTATTGACAGGTGCCATTGTCGGGTCCAGTCGTAACGAACCTGAGAAGGTAGGTACGACTGGATCCCTAGGGAATGAGATGGAATGAGTTATTGAAGCACCAAAAAGCGCCGGTCTTTGAACTTCACGATGTCGATGGTGCGAACTCCCACGAAGGGCGGCCCCCGTGGGTTTGCCATGGAACAACTGGATGAGTTGAGACAAAGCTCCAGGAAAGGATTCAATTGTCACCCACTGGTGGGGTATAGCTTTAGGTGAAGTTGTCCAGGTGAAGCTTCTAGCTGCAGCCCCGAACATCCCCGAACACCCTCCCGGCACGTCCTTGGTTGGCGCAGTGGTTGACTCAGCCCAGGCCCTTCGACATGAAGAGCCGAGCGGAGTATACCGTGAAGGCGAGCGACCGAGCGACACCGAGCGGAGTAGACCAGGGGTGTCGCTCAAACTACTGCACTGAATCCGCCTTCTTGGGCCTTCTGTGCTACTGTTTCAATTGGTCCGAGTACCTGGGAGTAGTCGGAGGGAAGTGCTTATGCTAAGCTAGGTGGGATAGAACCCGCATTGTTGTTCAAAATTCCAAGTGTTGCTCAGTTTGCAAGAAGTGCGGAATCAAGACCTCCCTGCCCAAATCCAAGATTTGAACTTGTAGTTGGAGGGAAGTGCAACTCTTGGATTAATTTTGACCCCTTCAACTTGAAGACAAACCCAGCCCATTGCAACATCAAACCATCTCAAACCCGGACCCATCCATCCGAGCTGGATGGCTCATCTCACCCGGTCAGATTCGTCGTGTGGTCCTGGACTTCACCACCAGACCTCCGGGCCCTCAAACACATAGGGTGAATGAGATGGGCTGCAGGGTAGTAACAAGTGCCTTACTAGTAACAAGGACGCAAAAAGGGAAACAATCAGCTAGTTTATTTGTTGTTTCTAGTAGCGTCCTTGTTACTACTAGTAAGGCACTTGTTACTACACGCATTAGGGTGAATGAGATGTTTTGAGGATCACCCCTTGAGATCTCAAAGAGTCCAGGCAGGCTGGGGACGGCAGATCTCAGCGCAGCCGGCCAACAGCTATGCCAGACGCTTCGATCAGCAGCCCTGGCTGCAAGTCTGGGAGTCCGCTTATGGGCACGTTGGGCTGGTTGGGCTCCGAAGTGCGGTCCTTCTCTAAGGCGGTTTTGGTAAGTGTTACCAGTAGTATGACACTGGGCCCCCGTCCGTGTCGATCAGTGTATGACACACAAGCAAGGAAGCTGCAACAAAGCCACGAGAAAACGCAGTACTGAATGGGGGACCCGGTCAGGGGACCTGTTTCAAATGTCATGGACCAATTCTGGTGCTTTCTCAGTTCCCAGACACTCCATGTCTATATGCCGCCCCAAGTGCCGCCCCATTGACCCCTCAAAGATCCTCAAACCACCCAAATGTAGGTAATACATATCCATACATGGAGTGTTTGGGATTTGTTTTGTGAGATCTGGTGAGAATGCCTGACGAGTCAAGCATCAAGCATCGGCCTGGTCCTTTCGACTCGGCCAGGACCCGCGGTGAAAGGACGTGGTGAGATGTTGTGTAACGGTTTTGCAACGAACTCCGAAACGGGTTTTGCAACGAACTTTGATGATGGGGTATACCGTGTATACTACCGGCATTTTTCTCCCAAGGTGACACCTTGGGCCCTGGGAAGGTGGCTGCTGTCGCGTGGTTGCGTCTGTGCCTGTTTTTTTTTAGAATTCCATGAGATACCACTGGTGGGGCAAGAAGAACCTTAAGTATGATCACTCTGTCCATGTGTTGTTTCAATTCGTAAGGAGCGTTCGGTTGCCTCCCAACAAGCCAGTGCAGATGTGTTTTTTTTCCTCATTCAACTCCCTAGAAGTCAAAACAAGAAAAGACCAACTAGCTTTTATCCAATGGACATTTGTTCGAAGTTCCCTTTCCAGGCCCTCTTTTTCAGGCCCCCTTTTCAGAACCATTCCCTTTACAGTCTTTTGATCCCCCGTTGTCGTCCGTGTAGAATCTTCCGCGGAGATGGTGAAGCAACAACCAGCTTCTGGATCTTTGATCGAGAACGGATCGGAGCTTCCACGTGTTTGATTCCTTGAGGTTCATGGTTGAGAAGGCCCGGCGGAGGGGGGGTCCATCAGACGGCAGCAACGGATTGATATATGGAGAGAGAGAGGGACTATCAGTATTATCATAATATTCATACACCACAGTGTCACAGTATGTGTATTCTGTGTGCGTTTTTTTGAACAGCCGAGCTTAGCTTGACATTCCTTGTGAGGAAGTGGCCATGGGTTTGACGAGAAGAATCACAAACCCTGGGATCGGAGACCAACAGCAGATGAGCAACCACCTTAATTTGGTCTTCACTAAAATAGTCTACGGCATGCTCCATTTGTTTGTCCAACATCAGTGTTCGCTGATGAACGAGATAGGGCCGCCCACACGTCAACGAGATACTTCTTTTTGATGACACCAACGTAGTGTGAACGAGATAATGTTCTTTTGTCATTCCTATAGTTGTTTGAACGAGATACTGTGACAATCTGTGACATGACCTCCTACTAAAATAGTCTAAACGAGATAGGGCCAGATAGGGCCCGCACAGTGGCCCCCACATAATTAGTTTATTCAATTTTAGTAACACATAATAACAGCCGCTGCTCAGATAGATCTCAGTATGGTTTAAACATGGGATGGCTTACTAGTAGTGCTAGATGTGCTGCAACGCTGGGTGGTTTGTATGCTTGGGAATTGGGTGTTTCCTGATGTCTGAGCACTGATTCGACTCATTCTCGCCGAGATGGAGATGGAGCAACAGGTCAACCTGCATGGAGCGGTTTTTCATGCATCCAGACCGTGCGACAGGGGACCGTTCGGACATGTTCTTCCATAACCCAGACGCTCCACATGAGACTGCCATGCCATGCCAGTTGGGGTGGTGCGTCAAGGGGGGCGGTCAATGGGGCGGGTTTCGCGGTAGATCAACGATTTCGGCCCTTCCTGCCTGGTGCTTCGCTTCGCTTCCGACGTGCCACGGCTACGTGCGGCCTCCCCGAGAATCAGAAGTGGTCAGAAGTGGTCAGTTTTGACCATCTACGCATGGACTATGCCTGGACCCTCCGTTTTCGGGGTGTCCTGGCTGGACGACCCCACACTACCGGCCTAGGCCTCGCTTCCAGGGCAGCCCGACTGGAGGGTCCTGGTGTGTATGAAAACTTGCAAGACGTGTCATAAAATGGAGTATACTGTACCTGGTACCCCTGAAGAGTGATAATTATCACTCCGTTTGGTAACTATCAATCTTTTGGACAGTGGTGTGACAAAAAGCACTCCGGAGTGAGAATAGTTGCTCCAGAATGGTTTTTGTTGCTCCGCAACGTATCTTGAACGCAAAGCGAACGTTAATTGAACGCAAAGTGAACGCACTGCGAACGCAATCTGAACGCAATTGCGGTTGGACTGATTTTTTCCACTCCGGAGTGCTTTTTGTCACACCACTATCCAAAAGATTGATAATTACAAAACGGAGTGATAATTATCACTCTTCGGGGTATATATACATCTGTATACCCTAAGGCTTCCGGGCCCTCCATGTTTTTAAATCGTCTTGGAAGGCTAGGATTTATACGAACTGTTCCATAGCACGGATGACCCATGGCCTTTCCAACGTTCTTGCCGTCCTTCCCCGTTTCCACCGTGTGGCCGGTTCCAACGGTCCGTTTCGAGCTCCGCAGGGCCGTGTTGGAAACACGGCGCTGCTTGTTCAAAGCGCTGTTTCACCGGTGAGGTCTTCCGCAAAAGCTGGTCTGACTCCACGGCGCCCTTGGTCTTTACGGACCAGACCTGCCTTGACTGGGGCAGTGCTTCGGACCACATGCGGTCGGACGGACGCCGAGCCGAACTGGAACGCACGGGTCGTGCCGGTGTGAAGTGGGGGGAGGTCGAGTCCGAAGGGAAGCGAAGCCGGAAGGGCTGATGAGGCTGATGAGGGGCCCAAGGGGTGAGTCCAGGGGTGATTGGAATGGAAGAAACGAACAGAATGAAACAGATGGGTCAATAGACTCAATAGACCATAATCCAAACGCCACCCGTCTGGGACTGCCATAAGACTGCCGATCAGTCGGGGTGGTGTTTGGGGGGTCAATGTATCATATATTCCATACGTGGAGTGTCTGGGTAATGGAACAGTACAGATGGTCGTAGAAAGGGTTGTCCCCCGTCCGGAGGTTTATGGGCTCCAAGTCTCTTCCACGTGGCCCTTGATTTTCCTGAGACGACACTTGTCAATATCGTTTTCTCCATGTTGTGTCAGTGTTTGCATCTCCCTCCAAACAGAAGGAGAACACATTTAGTGAACAACACGACCCTGCAGCCCAAACCTTGATCACAACTGCAAGCTGCGCTGCACTTCTAGATCGCATTCTGCTCCTGTTTTTGGACTGGCGCTCTTCCCGTCTCCGATCTATCTTCCTCTCCCCCAACCAACGGCACCGGCCGACCGATTCCCTCGGTGCCACCGACCGCCCAGGCATTGACATGTGGGGTGACTAGGTGAGGGTTCCGCCGAGACGCTCGGGTCAGGAAGGGTCCAGGAGGTTAAGGAGGGAGAGATGGGGATGGGAACGGGAACGAAATGGGGGGTGAGCGAGGGAAGTGATGTTGTAGCTCGGATTGGATGAATTCGAGATTGGAAGTCCATGGGCATGTGACTCTGAAGTCCAGCCCAGACACGACTAATGGGACTGGCATATCATGTAGCATGCAATGGGGTTGATTTCAGGGGTCTTTCTGGGGCGGCAGCCGGCTAGCAGTCCCATGGAGCGCGTGGGCAGGGAGCGGGGTGTCTTCTCAAACTTCGAGTTTTCGAGGCCATTTTCCACGCGAGGCCTGGTCGATTGGTGTCAAGTGATGTTGAGTGGAAAATCGGTGTTGATCGGTGGAAACCACGTAGACGCGTCTACCACGTGTTCGCATCACCAAAGCAGACATCTTCTAATGGGATTGCCCCCGCTCCCCAAGAGTGTAACAACATCTTATAACATCTTGGTGCGCACGGCGAAGTTGAACGTCGACAAATCAGTGACACTTGCACGCATGTTTGCGGCAATCCCATAGGATCCAGGTACCTCCCGAGGATGTCTTTGGAGGTGAAAGTACTTCCTGAGAATGGTCGAACTGGGGCCCAAAAGGACGTCCGATTCGGATGGTCCTGGACCCTGAGGGAATGTGATCCAATTGTAGTACTGTAGATGTGCGTCGCCTGCGGTGCACGACCCGAACGCCCTTTCCGCCGACCCGGCCGAGGCGGAGTCCGAAGTCGGAGCGACCGCGGGGCGCCGGACGGCGCCGCGGAACCGGCCGAAACAGACGGGAGTTGGCGCAGATAGCGGGGATGAGCCGGGATGGGGGTTTATAGTGGTTTTCAGGGTGATGGTCCTGCAACAAGATACAGGCACATCAATGTCAATCAGGAATTTTAAAACATACTTTGGTTTTGTTGATGTAGGCCCAATTAAGGTGGGTGCAGAGATGTGCAGAGCCTAGAGATCAGGGCGGTGAGTCTCAGTGCTTGAAAGGTTGCGAGTTGTGTGACACACGCAAGAAGGCAAGATTTGCAAGACCTACTTTCACATCTACAAACACTCCCAGACACTCCATGTATGCCATATACCTATACATTTGTGTGGTTTCAGGGGTCAATGTAGGCATATATTCCATACATGGAGTGTATGGGATCTACAGTTAATCCTGCCACTGTTGGATGCCGCCGCCGAACTGTTGATGCAGCTAAATACGATGTGTTCGGCCCTTTTTGCCAAGCTATGCGTAAGTAGATGATCGTCGCCCTTTGATTTGCGCGTGGTCGGTCTTGAACTGGAGCTGTGATGCGCAGACTCCCCAGATCCGTTTTCATGAAATTTGTGTGCATTGGTTAAAATGTGCATGCAATGCAGTCATGCCCATGTTGCTTTGGGCTACAGCTTGAGGCCATGATTTAAAGTAACGTACATGCTCATCATCTGAGCCGCGACATGTTTGGGCTTTGAGAGCGTGTTACGCCTTCGCTGCACCGCCGTTTGCCTGTGAATCCAGAGAACGTGCTTGCGAGGCCAATGTCAGATCGGACGGTGGCACTGGTCAGCCTCCCACAGCCAGCCGGAGGATTCAGCAGCTTCATGGGGGGCGTCAAGGCATACTTCTGGACCCCAGGTTTCAAGCAAAGCATTCACCTGGAGAACGAGAGAGGGATGAACATGGCCTACATGATGCTTTCCATTCTCGCGTTTCTGGTTTGCCCCTTAGTGGCCGCTGTGTTCGACAGTCCCACCCGCCTGGAACGAGCCACAGACGTGATTTCCCCTTTGCGCTACAAGAGCAAAGCAACCTGGTATTCGGAAGATGGAGATGGTCCCTTTGACTACTGCGAGAATTCCACGGAGTACCAGTGCAAGTGGGAAGACCATGTGGTGAATGCAAGTGGGTGCACGGATTCGGCCGAAAGCGCCTTCCGACACTTCCTCATTGCAACTCCAGCGGGTGTGGGGCCTTTCATTCCCACCCTCGTGGAGACCACCAGGAGCTTCGTGCAGTGCAATAGCAAAAAATGCAACCTCAAAACGCAAAAGTTTGTCAAAGCTGCCGGACTGCACGGGGGATTCCAGTTCAAAGTTCGGCCCGGGCTACCGGACTGGTCCCATTTGCATCTTCAGTGAGGATCAGAAGGATTTGCTCATCAACTGCTATGGTTTGACAGGGGAAAAGTGTGCCGAAAAATACCAGGCTCCAAAAGCACTTGGTTTGATGGACTGCGTTGCAACTTTTTCTGTGGCCTCACACTCATCCAATGTCACAAACATTGGGAATGCGTTTCGCGTGGGACCATGGCAAGATCTGAACGTGGACATCAAAGAGATGTGGAAGCTCGGTGAGCTCGGAGAAATGGATCGACGGAGCCACCAAAGTGCTCTTGATGACCCTGGCAAATGTGCTCCAATCAGCCGTGGTGGGCAGTTCCAAATCAGCGTGTCCACACAGCAAACGGAGCAAAGGCGGCAAAGGTGGATCACCCCTCCAGCTGGATTTGCTGGTTTGGGTCCAGATGGCTTGAGGAAAAGCTGGCGTCCAAGAGGCCGTTTCATCACTGGAAATGCTTCACACTGAAGATCCACGTGCGTTATTTTGAACGCTTCCGCTTCTTTCAGGAGCAAGACGAGGCTTCCATGGAACCTGACCTCGCCACTAGCTAGCGCTGGCCACACCATTGTAGTCCGGAGAAACGCAGGCTTTGCCTTCCTGCTGCGCACCGACACGGGCGCAGTGCGAGTCTGGAACTGGACGGCCCTTGTGGTTGCGGTGCTTGGGCTGAGTTGGTTCTTTGCGAAACCTGCGCAGATTTGCCAATGGTGGATGACAAACTGCGCAGAGAACCGAAAGGTCTACTCCGAAGTCTTCAACAGGACCTTCAAAGTGCAGGCCGAGTTGGATGCTTGGCTGGTGAATACCATGGTTGAAGGCCTGAAAGGGGTAACCAACAAAGACAATAAGGTGAACATAGCCGAAGTGATCAAAGAGGTGAGCAAAGCTTTCCAAGCCGGAGACCATGCAGAAGAGGCAGAGGGAATCCGCAAGATTGAAGCTTGTTTGGATCACAAGGGAGAGCAAGACCTCTCACAGCTGTTGCTTCGAGCACAGGAAGCGGAAGCCGTGAATGCTAGACGATTGGCCCAGGATGAGACTTTCTTCAAGAACCTTGCCCAAAACCTTCGAAGTGGTGTCAACGACCACTTGGACAGAACATGCTCCTATGTGGGTTGTCCTGACAAGAGCGATGAGGAGTCTCAATCCGACAACGAGGTGACACATCGTTCCTCCAAGTAGGGAAGCCTTTTCTGAGGTCGCTCGGGCTACCTCTTCGTCAGTCAGGGCACGAAGTCCGCAACTTCGCACCGGTCCGCAACAAGGGCCTGTTGGATTTCTGGCATTGCGGTGCCCAATTCGTTTGGCCTGAGACGCAAGCCCCTACCAGGCCCTAAGGGTGGTTAGTATTTACTCTTTAACCTCCAAGGAGCCATAATTAGACACCCCTTAGGGGGCCCTGGTATGTATATTATATATTTATAGTTTGCAAGAATTCAGACAGGCTTCACTGGACAGGCTCAGGCCTTTTGGTGGCGTCCCATGGTCAATGTCATTGGCACCGGCGATTTCTAGTCCCAACTCTTGGGTAAACGATATGCTCGACAGGTGCATTGATCAGGGGGACACCATGACGTGCTCTTCCCTAGCCTGTGCACGCTTTGACGGGGCCAATGTGCCGGGGAGTTTTACTCATGCCCCATAAAGACTGTGGGGCTGAGGTTTTCTCCACCTGAACTGAACGATCCGGCGATGGCATCGATCAAAATGCGACGTTGCGCAAGGTCGCAGCTTCGAAACGTATGGTTTGTTTAAACCCTAGGGCTCTAACTACCTCCTAGGAAGATGGGTTTGGGGGGTCTAACCACCTTCTGAGGATATGGTTGGAGCCCTAGGGTCTCTTGCTCTCTTTATATGACAATCAAGTCTTGGACAAGGAGCGCAAGCTTTGCTTGGCAAATGACGGGCTTGCAGAACGAGGAGTTTGGGGATTTGGTATCATGTTTGTGTGAAAACAGGACTCCAGCTGCTTCCCCAGAAGGGTATCGCGAAGTGATCATGATACAAATCGGCAGCCGCTGCGGCTCCCAATGACGCGCGGTGCTGACGTGTCGCGGCGCTGACGTGTCGGCGGGGGGGTTAGCTGCAGCAGAATTATGTCAGGCAGGGGATGAGTTCGGAGCTGGGCTTGGGACGGGCCCAACGTTGGAAGTATAGAAACTGAACCTGACCATTCTGGAGATGTCTGGAGCGACAGGAGTGTTTAATCACATTGATTTCGGAGAAGATGGAGGTCTCACCGTGCTCACCCGAGGATGTCTTTTAGATGGAGGTCCATTCAATATTCAACCGAGATTGTGCCTCTAATTCTCAATCCACGATAAGCCAAGTAGCTACAGGAAGTTCCCCAACCCCTTGCTAGTAGGTAGGCAACATTTACAGTGGTTTCAGAGTAGATGGTACAGACCTGAAGATGTTCTTCACGGGGGGTATATATATATATACATCGACTAACTAAACCACCTCTTGGGGTTTGTGCCATCTACTCTCAATCCACTATACTTGTTTGAGGTGAATTGCAGCTGTTTTCTTCAGTGCGTGACCTGCTCTGGGACACCCACCAGTGCCAAACCTGAGTGTCCACCATACTGGGGCTACTGCGGGGGGGGGCACTCCCATGGGCTCCGCGCGAGAGGTTCCTTTGTGGTGCCACTCGGCATTGATGAAGAGAGCGAGCATATATATATATAGTATACAGTAGCAGGAGTTATAGCAGGTAACTGTGATGATTTCTTGTTTGGACCACAAATCCAAGCTGGGACGGGACCACTGGCTTTCCAAAACTTGGGGTGTGGCTCCAAATTTGAAGACATCCTCAACCAGGGGCTGCCAAATAAAGGCTGCAGATGCCAGTCGTCCACTTGATGACTTTGGGAGCTGAATCAAAAGCATCCAGACAGCCTCTTGCTGGCCGGTCTAGCCAAAGAAAAAGCGGGATTCTGGACAACCACTTGTTTCCGATGTGCTACTGTTCAGAAGCTGGGTGCAGCGTCATCGAGGTTTACATGGATTTGCATTGGTGCTGGAGCCATCCGGAATGACGACGAGGCGGGTCTGGACCGGGTCAGTGGTGACTGACGGAGTTGGAGGCTCTAAACTGACACCCCCCAAAGAGTTTTGAGAAGCGATGACCAGTGAACCTCGAGTTGAGTTGCCGGAATTTGATGGTATACAATTGACACATGCTACAGTACAGTCTAAATTGGTGCTTTCAATTGATAAAGGCGTTTAGTAACTTCTTCGGCAGTCCACCCGAAAGTCTCACCCAAACGAAGGGCGGGTCTTGGAGAGTTTCCGCCGCATGAAGAGGTAAATGTCGACTTGTGATTGATAAACCCCAGTTGAATTGGACAATCCTCCTTATATGGTGGGTGTATTAATCAAGAGTCTATAATTAGATGCCTTTAGTGTTTTGGACATGTTTGTCTTCAGTTCAACGCGTTAAAACGGTGTTTGCATTCACTCATTGAGTTTCTTACAGGGCCGGTTTTGGTTGCCAGGACTGGTCGAAAGCTCCGGGGCCCTTAGAATCCGCCCAAACAAGGATTCGAAGGGTTTGGTTCGGGTCCAGACCCCTGCTGTGTCGGGTTCGACCCCGCTGCGAAGGTGTCGGGTCCAAGTATGAATCACTGATAGAAGTCGGCTGAAGGATGAAGAAGCCAAATGCTTCCTTATAGACGTTTATTTGCAAAATGGCTCTGTTTCCACTTGTTCTTCCTGTTCCGAATGCCACATGCTTCTTCAGTCTCGGGAGACTTAACGGCTTGACGCCTTGGTGTGAAAACCGCCACCTGCGAAGCCGCAGAAGCCGACGCCGCACCTGCGGCCGTCGAATGCGCTGTTCGACCAAAGCGGCAGCCCAAAGCCAGCATGGTTGGAGGAGGGCTGGAAGCTTCGCGCAATGAAGAATGCGGGGCGTCGTTTCTTTCGATAAACCGGTCGAGTCAAGCTCCGAGCGTTCCGGGTCCGGGTCGACGGATTGCGCACCGCGTGTTTCTTCCGTGTTCTTCCGGGTTACAGAGCCGGCTCAACCGGTGACCTGGTGTTGCCGATCCCATCCACTCTCTTCGGGCGTGGGCTGAGCACATGGGGGGTGTCGGCGTGACGCTTGATTCAGCTCTCAGGAACTTCAGCTCCTCAACACCTATTTGTGGCCACGTGACCAACTTCGAATTCGAGGCAGCTTGACCAATCGACGTTCGGCGTTCCTTTTTGGTTCGAAGGATCGACCACCTCAAATTGGCGTTTTTGGAGGCAAGCAAGGGCCGCAAGTAGGGTTCTGGTTGGTGGGGGAGGGACAGAAATCTGACTTGCTTATAGTATCTTATAATTTAAGGGCCTGGTTGGTGAGGGAAGGCCATTTCTGATGGGACGGAAGAAGGCCTCAGTGCAACCAAAGCTGATTTGCTTAAGTCGTGAACTGAGTGTGATGAATGGCTTAAGTCTTAACTGAAATCAACTTAAATGAGCTCACCAAGAGATGAACAAGAATAGATCTGCCATGATCTGCAATAGATCTATATCTATTCTGCTGAGATCGATGGACCTGTGGTTCAGCTATGTTCAGCTTCTACGCAGCTCCATGTAGCTTGCTTGTTTCGAGGCCACGGTCGACCCAACAAACAACTGCCTCAAAACCCGGCCGACTTGCTCGAGATACCCGTTTTGTCGATCGATGAGGCAGGGGCCTTGCGTTCAGAAGGAAGCCAGTAGTCACGACCGGTGAGTCAGACACGTCCAAGACCATGGTGTTCCTCACAGGTTACCTGCTCGTGGTGTTCCGCACGCCCGCCGTGGCCCGCCAGCGTTCGCAAGCTGAGTCACGACATGTAGAGACTCAGAGTCAGGCATAGATATGCCAAAACAAACATGGTCTCAGAGTCTCAGGGTTAATGCAGGCTGATGGCAAAAGTCTAGAGACTCCGAAGAATACGCCTCGGGTTTCACGGGAGAAGTTGACGTTTGCAGGGCCTCAAGCTGCATTGTGAGAACTACCTGAAGAAGATCCGAGATGTGTTTGAGGCGTGGCGCGGCACTGCAGTCGGAATAGTCCATTTCCCATGTTTTGTGCCATTTGTGCTGTAAAAGAAAGGGACATGTTTGAAAATCCTTGAACATGGATGAGCCATGTTTCATGTGTTTTTGTATCCAATGTTTTTCATATTGTTTTCCAAGTGCCCTTGGTATCTTTTGTGCTCATCATGGCGCTGTTGTCAGCAATTTGCATCTTGAACGCGCACATATACGACCTCCGTTTTGATGGGAAAAGACAATGTTTTGACTCCAAAACAGGGGTCACTCAGGTTCCAGGTACATATTGGATATGTGTATACATATACATGTCATCGAGCAATGCAGCACGTGAATTCGGATTTAGCAACTGGCCTGAGAGAAGACGTTTTGCCTTTGATTTGGCTGAACATGACTGAACTATACGGTACATATTTTCTATTTAAGATATTTTCAGGTTTGCCGGACGAAGTGGCTGGAATTGAGGCACTGGAGTCCTCAGATGGTAGCAACTGCTCACGGTTCGACTTTTTGACCCATGCACAAATGCCCAGCACCTTCGCACCACTTGACATGCCACGTGACCTTGCAGCCTCGCTGCAACGACCTTGATCCGGTTGGAGGCCATCGCTAGGCTCTCAGGTCTGGAGGCCATTGCTAGGCTCTCAGGTCCGGAGGCCATTGCTATAAGGCTCTCAGGTGCTCCTCTCGCGACAGAGGTGCCCACCCCCCAAGAGATCCTGGAGACGAATCACATCGACCTTTCCGCTGCCGAGCTCCTCGGTGTTACCGCGTCGCAGCGCAGCGAGCGGTTCAGCTGGCTTCCCCGATGAAGCACACCGTATCCGGTACCACGGTGGTGGGGAGAAATCAGGCAACCTCCCACGGTGCCATTTTCAGGTTCTTTTTGGTGGCCGCTGTTTGTACGCAAGCGCCTTTCTTACTTGCATGCCCACACAGCCAACCGCAAACAGAAAGGTCACCATGATTTGCAGTTTCACGAATTGCTTCGACCGTGTTCAACCTTTGTTTTCTGAATGTGTCCCATCATCCGCGAGACTTATGGTTCTATGGATCTTCAGTGCAGGAAAGAAACTTCTTGAAATCCAGTGGCGGTCACCTAAAGACCGTTGTTCCATGCTGTTCCAACCATCGGGGTGGCTTTGGAGGGTCTAAAGAGTGTAACAGGCATTTCAAGGTTGATGAACTTAAAGAACACCACATGGATCTTTTTTCATCTTTGATGGGCCGATAGAGGCAAGGTCAACAGTGCGAAAGTGTCAGAAGACAAGCACACAGTCATGCAAAGAAGTTCTCCTCAGAAAGAGCTGGCGGTACTGAAATGCAGAATTGCATGCAATTGTCCAGAAGATCGAAACCGTATCGAAACCGTATTTAGGGCCCATTACGGTCCAATTGATCTAAAGGTCCTTTTGTTTCCAACATTTGGTCAACGCCCTGGCCTGGCGGGCGGCAGGGTTGGTCGCACACATTTGATCGTCCTTCTGCCCCAATTGCATCGTCCTTCGTTTTAGGGTGTTTTGGTAGGTTTGTCTTGGAGGAGGGGTTTTCTCCCCTGCTGTGCTTCTCGTTCTCTCTCCAACACGGAGCGCCTTAAGCCGCCGACCTACGCCGCACCCAGCCGCCTGCCTGTCGCGGGCGCGCCTCCGCGGGCTCCGCTCAGGGAAGGAACGGGGCGAAGTGGAGCGAAGATGCTCTTCAGCTGGGGCACCCGAGTGAGGACGTCACGTCACGGTGAGTAGGGCGAGTCCGTCGACGAGGGGGTTGAGCCTTCTTAGGGCTGGGAACATCGGGGGGGGGGGCGACCTGAAGCAACCCGCGCGGTGGCTGGAGCAAACATGAGTTCCGGATCCATCCATATTACCTTCAAAAGTACGACTGGACCCTCCAAACCAAGGTCCACGTGTCTCCAAATCACCTTCATGTGGATCCACAAGGGCGATTCAATAGGAAAGATACCCTGCATCCAACAAACATAGAAGTGCAACATGGCCCACGTCACAGGCTGAATTTGATGAACAGGCTGTATTCCACCTCACCAGGGATGGTTTCAGGGAGAGTATGCTTTCAGATCACTTGAACAACTCCCACCGGTCGCAAACGGTCGCTCACGACGTCACGCACGACCGGTTCGAGATGTTTTTCGCGGGGGTCGCGGGTTGCGCGAACTCAGGTGCCATTCAGTTTCGCACGCCTGGATTGACCTGATGGATTGACCGGACACCTGAGGCAAGGACAAGAAGTTCATCATCAAAACGATGTCAGCTCGCGACCTGGGTGCCTTCATCAAAGTTGTGGAGAAGCAGCGATGCTTGCAACGAGCGGTTTGGCGCCGCGAGCGGATCCGCGTGCTCGTCTGCACGTGTGAGAGAACACGTGGCGAGAGAGTGCAGTGATGGTGTGTAAACCACTAATTAAGTGAATGACACAAGCGCCCTGGGCCCTTGGCCTAAAAAGGAATCACCTGTTCCCTCCGCACGGTCCGGGCGGTGTTTCCACCTTACAGCCATGCAAATTGGGTGAAGGTTGGTCCTGATGAAGAAGTATACCGCGGCCTTTCGTGTATATCATAACCTTTGTTTGGGACTGCAGTTCTTTGTTTACTTTGTGGCTGAAAAGCCATACGGGGGGAGCGTTTGAGGCCATAGGTTTGTCCAACTATACAACATAAATGAGTAGCACTGAAGTAAGTAGCGCAGAGACTCAACCACTGTTGAACCATTGTGGGAACATCGTGGGAGGTGTTGAAGCTTTCACCCTCGGCAATAGGCGAGTTTGGCTTTAGCAGCATGTCACTTCCATTTGCATCCGCAAAGCTAGCAGCAGGAAACTACCAAACATTGCTTGGGAATGCCTTAGGGGAAGTGCCAACCCCACCACAACAGGGTTGATTTTATCATGTTTTATCTCCCCCTTGCAGTGGCACATGTGCACAGGACCGCATCCACATGACCATCTTGTTGGTCCCCTACCAACGTGGCCAGCCGACCAGGTCTCCAGCTCCAGCTCTAGGGGTTACCCTGATCACCTGATGGTTGCGGCCAGGCTCCCTAGAACATCCAGCAGAGGTTGAAGAACCCTATAGACTATCCTATAGGTACCCCCGTAGGTTCCTATAAGGTCACTTAACCTCTGTAAGATGTTCCCAATCAATTCTTCCACTTCCATCACCTAACCGGGCCATCAGTGGATCGGCGGCCTTCTCTCGGATGTCTCCGAGGTACACCGCGCACCTGGTGTCCCATGCCAGTGAGTCTGCGATGATGAGGTACTATGCCATCTTAGAGGCAGGTCGCTGTTTTGAGCGGGGCGGGTGGGCGGCGAGCTGAGGAAGTTTCTTTGAGGGAATGCCTTGGGTTTACAGTGTACATATGTTCACATTTTGTTTCGCATGAAGAAAAAGCAACATGGAACTGGGAGGGGCATGGGAGTGAGGCATTCGTCGAGTTCCATTTGTATGCATTTGTTGGATTTCAGTAGGTTGATGAAAAAGTTCTCCTGCTGAGTCTTTGGTGTGGAGCATGGAGCTTTAGTATGCTTTATATAGCTTTCTTTGGAGTCTAGGATCCGGCTTTTGCCACATCTTGAGGAGATGCACTTGGAAGTTCCCTTAGAAAGAGCAAGAGATCCATGTTCAGCAGCTGTGCAGAGCAATGACAGGAAGATGTCCGATAGAGAAACCATATCGCCCGTATACCAGGCAATGCAACTACTGTAGCATGCATGGAGCGCCAAAGAAAAACCTCAAACTGAACTTGTTCCAATGCACGGATAGGAGTGGGAGTTATTCTGGTGGTGTCAACCACCATCATCGCCGCCGATCAAGCCATCGCCGGCGATCGCCAGCCCCTGTAGGACGAAGGGGGTGGTTTCTGGCTCATCGCCAACAACTGGCTTCCAGCGGCTTGGCATAGACAGTGCACAAGCTGCAAGACGCTGTTTTGGGATGGGGGACGCCACACTAAGCATGAAAAGCTGGAAAAGCTGCCAATGCTCCTCGAGCCAGGGAACCGACGGGCGAATCTCCCGCTCCCAAGGTTCCAAAACATGATGCCTGACTCCTGATGGGAGAGCCGCTCCTGTTCTTTTTCATCTTTGGAACTCCCGCTCTGCAGTCGCATTTGAACCGTTTACTCTTAAGTGGATCCCAGCACACAAGTGCGACGATCTTCCTCTTGATGAGGTAACTGCGGAGGTTGCTGCCACTTATAACATACCCCTTCGGCACTTGCGCTGCAACAGACTGGCGGACGAGAAAGCTCGCGAATGTGCCCTTCAACATGCACCTGTTCATCCTCGGGTTTTTAGGCAACTTGAATATGATGTTTTCCAAAGACAATCTCAGCTTGCATTCTTGAACAAATCTATTGGGACCGATATAAATATTCGGAACTTCTTTGTCACGAAAGAGGATATTTGTTCTACATTAGAAGCATTTGATGTGCGCCGACGGTTTCCGTCATGGCCATGGAAGGCGGACTCGGCCCAATTCAGCTGGGAACCTTTGCCTGATTCGGAAGTTCTGTCCGAGTTGTCCAAAGTTTTTGGACAGCTGGATGCTTCTTGCATTGTCGAATTTTGGACCTCATTGCGTTGGCGAGAAGGCGAAGCTTTGTCGGTTTCATACATTGAACTTGTTTTTCTTTTTTGCAGGCAAAAGAGGGTGCTTGAAAAAGTTCCTGAACCAGATGCGACAGTTGCGAAAGTCCAGAAGGTCCTGAAGCGAGCTGCGGGGATTATTTTTGCAGTACCTTCACAGAAGATGATTCCGGGGGTCCATGACTCCACATGGGCTCACAAGTGTGGGCGTGCTGTCCCTAAAGGTTCGATTAGATGCGCCAGACCCATGTTGACGGATCCTGAGCTTGAGATGTTTGCAAATCTGCTGCTTGATGGGAAGAGCCAAAGCCTCAAAACCTGGGATATTTCTCCCGCTGACTGTTGGACGTGACTTAATTCATTTTGGTCGTGATGAGGCCTTCCCCGAGGTCTCGGTTGTTTAGGGAAATTCGTTTGCTGCAACCATGGCCATTAGACCAGTGTGTCTAAGGCTATCCCACAAAACGTGGGAGCGACAGATAGAAAAGCTGGAAAAGGAAACCCTTTTTTCTAGGGAAACCAATTAAGGGAGTCAGGTTCAGCAGTCATGTATGTTTGGCTGTTGGGCGGCCGGGCACCCGCGCAGGTGAACACTGAAAATTCATTCTCCATAGAAGCATTCTATAGAAGCATGTAGCACACTTACAACTCGAAGTCACCATCAATCAAGTGCCTGGGACAGATAGATAGACTCAAGAGAGAGAGGGAGAGAGAGACTTAGAGAAGTGCCCAGTGCATCAGGCATGCATCAGGCACTGCAACGAAACACGTAAGCCTATTCTTAGTGAGTCCTCCTACCCGCCCAGAAGGCCTCCCAGCAGACCTCTCAGCCAGAAAGATGTCCAAGGTGAAATTCCCCGTGGTTTGGGACTTGAAGGGCTCGATGGTGGGGCGCAAGAATGGCGACACCGAGAGTGATCAAAAGGACACGCCTTTCCCACGCACAAGCACCTCTGGGGGACGAGTTACCTCCAGTTGAAGTGGTTGGTTTTTTAAATACCTGGAGTCTCAAAGTACCTCCGAAAATGGGTAAGTACCTGTTTTTATGGGGTCATGTCCCATTTTCTAAGTTATTTTGGAGGGTCCAGGTATATTTTTTGGGAATGCTGAAGCGGCTTGTGGGTAGACATTCTCAGGTGGAGTTAGTGCGTTGATGTTCGTTGACATGTTGGAGTGGCCCAGAAATACACCAATGGCAGAAGAACTTGGTTTAAGACTTGTATCGGCCAGATCATGCTCTCACTCTAGAATACACTCCGGAAGATTTTAGCATGGAACCTGAAAACCATTCAAAACCACTGGGTTCATCTTCCAAAGTAAGGTCCATGGTATTGGTTTAGACATCTCAGTGAGCTCATGATCAGACTGTTCATTTCCCGCGCCATCACTCGCACCCATCGGGTTCATCGACTTCTGGCCGCTCCAGGACCAGGATTGGCTGAACCAAAACAAAGCGTTGGCCTTGCCCCCGGACCAACGTGCGGTGGCCCTCCAGACTCTGGAGAGCGAAGCTGGGCATAATCGATACCTCTCGGGCCGCGCGTGTTTAGCCGGGCACCGAGGGTGGTGAGGCTGAGAAGGCTCAACGTGTCAACACGTTGTACTCTCCAGTCGCCAAACCACTTGGCTTGGCAATGGTCGGCGGGGGGGCTTTTTTAGAAGAATCTGACATGTTACATGTTGGGTGTATAGTTGTTTTGCATACTAAGACTGCAGCGTTCCATCCATTCTACCAGCTGGAGCTTCCTCTTGGGAGATTGCTTCAGAGAGGGTCGTCGCAGCGTAGAGGGGCGTCGCATGCGTTGGGGACCTGGGGAGTTGTATAGGGTTTTGATGGGCGCGTAACATGGCGCATCAAGTATTCTTGACTTCGATCTGTGGTGACCGACTTGGACGAGGATGAGCTGAACCCATGATCATTGATTGTGATAGTTTGGTCTTTGATTGTGATAGT